CAATTAAATATCTCGTAAACTGTTGCGTTTTTATATGATTTATACTATGCTGGATTAATGGGAGAGGTATACTATTATTACAAATTGTTAAAACTTATATGTTATCTAGAATACCCCTCGTCCCTTATTTTTGATATACGTCGCGCGGCCGAGATTGCCGAGAGAAAACATTTTCAATCGCTTGAAATAAGCGACCACAGTGGGGACAGATGTTCTCTCGCGCTGTAGCGCTGTTTCGTTTGCTCAGCCGAAGGTGAGAACGGATTCTCTCCATGATTGCCAGTTTTCCTGCAGTTTTCTGTCAGAATTTCTGATTTTTGTATTTACGATTCTTCAGCATTCCGGTAGACGATGAAAATCTCCGATTAATTGCTTTGAATATTGATGACCTTTTTTTTTTAAGGAAATGATAATGTGCATAAATGCCCAGTAAAAAAAATTTCATTTACATATATAAATGTATTGAAACATATATTAACATGTATATATATGTATATAAATAAAAATTATTATATATGATTGTAAGTGAAATATATTCAAACATGTTTATATATTTTTTCTTATGTAAAATTACTGCTTAGTACAAGAAATATAATGACAATAATGAGAAAACGTTAAAAGTAATAAAAAGGATAATTTTCGCATTGTTTCCTTTAGAAAAAACATCCCGTTTGGAGAAATGTAAAAAAATTACGAACACTTGTATATAATTATATATTAGCAATTTTTTTACATTTCCCCAACCTTGATTTTGTCCAAAAGTAGCAATGCGAAAATTATCTTTTTAATTAATTGCCTTTCAGACAAAGAATTGTTTTCTTTTTAATTATTTTTTGTTTTCTCACTATTACTATTATTTTTCTTATATTAAACTAATTTGTTACAAAAGAAGGATGTATGGACATATTTCATATATAATTATATAAAAACAATGAAGACAGGTCAATATTAGAATGTTTTTATTGCTTTGCAAAAAGAGAGGTAAATCCTGTCTCGACTTTAGGATGTTACGCCACCAAATGAATGAATATATATTTATATAACATGTTTATATGTGTTTATATACATTTATATGTTTGTGCATTACAAATATTTTACGGTGTGATTAAAAAATTCCTCGAGTTCTGAAAAAAAAAATCCAGAAGGGTGAAAAATCTAATATCATATTTTTTTTAGAAATCATATAATTTTGACACATCAATAATACAAAACTTGTAAATTTCTATTGTGATTGTCAATATTGGGCAAGACCATAGGATCCCCAGCGCATGGGCCTTTGGGGTCATCCCAGTTGAAAACTAGCAACCATTCTCTCGCTCACTTCGTGCTAAAACTCACCGAGCACGTCATTTGATTGAGAAAAAGTTCAATGGATAAAACGTTGGTGTGCTCGGGGCCAAAATCTCATCATTAGTAGTCTGTACTATCACTTATGATTTATTAAATTACTTTTTGGGTAAAGAATTTCGTCTAGGCCAGACTTGTCGAATTTGTTCCGGAGTCAAAACACAACGCCATCAACGCAAAAAAATTCAATGTGGGTAAGATTTCGAGGACTGTAAATTATTGATACGCATCTAAGTGACGCTTATCAACACTTTATAGTTCCTAAAATCTTCTCACATTGAATTTTTTTTGCGTCGATGGCTTTGCGTTTTGGCTCCGGAGTTCTAATTAGACAGGCTTGATCTAGGCGTTCTGCAATAGTTGTGTTAATGCAAAAAGAAAAGTAGAGTATTACATAATGACATGCACAAAAACTGTATCTGGAGACACGATAGCGCCTAAATATAATAGGCTGAAATGAATCTAAATTCAAAATTAATATATAAAATATTAGACTAAAAAAGCCATTTAGACAGATGTTATTCGCTAAAATTATTATTCAAAATGAATACATACATTACAATTTCATACGACGTTTCGACCCTATATGTGATCTTCAGCAGTGAAATTAATGTTCGTGTTAAATTCTTCTAAATCTTGCTATCGGTCAATGTATATATTTCATAATGAAAAGTGAGTTCTTTTCAATAACTCCTATATATTTTTGTCAATAAATTATTCTTGATCATAATCCATGTCAGTGATACACATGTAAAAAAAGCCTGTTGGAGTTTCACGGTTGTTGTTTCTTCCAAATAGTTGTTACTCAAAGTTGTACGCACGGGTTGCAATCACATTTATCCATTAGAGAATATCAATTTTCAATTCTAACGGTAAAATATAAATGCGCCCATGCGCGCACATTTAAATATATTTATTGCATCTGTACGGTTCCTGCACGACACATGTGCGTATTATATATTGGGTATGGGAATAAATTTCCGCCCTTTTTGAAAAGAAAAAGATGTGTTTATTTAAACAAATCTATATAAGTGAGTTTATTCAAAGTATGCTCCTTCGGAAGCGACAACTTTCTCTCACTTTTCCGGTAATAAACGGATTCCTCGAATGAAAAAATCTGGTTCTTTTGAAGCGATCCATTCATCGAGCCATTTTTTAATATCTTTATAAGAATTGAATCGTTCTCCAGAATGGGCCGACTGCATGGATCGGAACAAATGGAAATCTAAAGGAGCAATGTCCGGTAAATATGGCGGGTGAGGCAGAATTTCCCACTTTACTCCTTCCAAGTATTTCTTGACCGGTTTTGCAACGTGTGGCCCAGCGTTGTCATGTAACAGAATCAGCTTGTTGTGCCTATTGTTCCATTCCGGTCGTTTTTCTTTCAAAGCTTGGTTTAAACGTATCAGTTGTAGTCGATAACGATCGCCAGTGATGGTTTCGGACGGTTTGAGCAGCTCATAATATATAACACCTCTCTGATCCCACCAGATGCACAACATAATCTTCGAAGCATGGATATTTCGTTTTGGCGTTGATGGACCTGGTTCACCTGGCATCACCCATGCTTTCAAGCGTTTAGGGTTATCGTAGTAGATCCATTTTTCATCGCCAGTTACGATACGATGTAGAAAACCCTTCCTTTGTTGTCGTTGACGAAGCATCTCGCAGATGACCAAACGTCTTTCCATGTCTCTCTCTTTCAATTTGTATGGCACCCAATTTCCTTCTTTTTGCACCATTCCTATTGCGTGTAGACGTTTTCCAACAGTGGATCTATCAACATTTAACTCTTTTGACAACCTATCGAGCGATAAACATGAATCTTCTTCGAGTAATGCTTCGAGTAATTCTGCATCTTCAAATTTTTTCGATG